AGTCAGTTTCTTTTTTACTTTCCAACATTCACTTTCCAAATTCCCCTCGCCTCCATTCCTGTTTTACTTTTCAATCAAGGCTCGATGTTGTTTGCAAGAGGTCCTCTCGTTAATTTATTCCTCAGTGTAGTCACCCTTAGAAGTAGACCAGTATCGTTATTATCCTGTCGCTTACAAATTGTTGATTTCACGTTATTTCATTTTTCGATTATCCCTTGCCGAGCGAACAAGCCGTTGGCTCTCCTTTGTTATTCCCTTTGCCCCTGTGTCAATATTGTTTCACTGTAACGCCACCAACAACCGGTTAATCTTCCCCTTCGCCGCTTCCTGTCGGCCCAAGTCTCGAGGAAACTCGCGAAAAGGAGATTAGCGAGACGAGGACGACGGAAAATGTACAGGCTAGCCAAACGAATCGTTCCATGCGTGGAGAAAACCCGCAGTGTTGGAGAAAAGCCGTAGGTAGGGTGATTCTGTCCGTAAAAATGCAGCGAAAAGGTGGAATACAGTTTTCTCCTGCGAGGCTTCGTTCTCGAGAATATCAGATTTGAAGCTGTTCGGGACACGCGCGCATTTTACTGCTGTTTAGATCTAAGGAATCTACAAGGATTCATTATGTATGTTTAAGACGCGGGAAAGTGATCATTTATAGATAGAAACATTATATTATATATATTGGTGGTTTTATTATATTATATACAAGGTGGTCCACGCAATTGTTTCAAGTCATAACTCCGTTATTATTGCATTTACGAAAAAATGCCACAGGAGAAAGATAAATGGCTCGAAGAGCACTACATCTGTAGGCCTTTGAATTTCTTTTAGATGCAGCAGTGCATATGTAATTAACAATTGCATCATTTCTTTAAATAGAAATGCATATTTTTTTTTACACAAATTGATTCTTTTATTCATTCTACGTAAACAATGATTAGGATACCATGGAAAAAAAATTATTAGATCTCGAGATATTTTCAAAAAATGTCTTTATTGAAGAAGATGCTCAAACGCTTCTCCATTACATTCTAAACATTTCTGATAACTTTTTTTTATTGTTTGCATAACTGCGTTTAAATTACCTGCATCACACAACACAAAAGTGTCGTACATATCTTGTTTCTCATTGTTAGTAAAATACATTTTCTTGTATTTAGTGAAATACAGTTACACTTTTTCAAATTCTTAGTTTTCGTACTCGAGTTACGATACGTGAATTGCTACTGAATAATTAAATGCTTACTCGTACAAATCAGTTTCTGTTATGATAACAATGTCGAAAGGGTGTTTACCTTTACAAGCGCGATTAGATACTTTATTTGGGCATCGTTTGAGCATCTTCTTCAATAAAGACATTTGTTGAAAATATCTCGAGAACTAATAATTTGTTTGCCATAGTACCCTAATCATTTTTTACCTAGAATGAACAGACGAATCGATCTATGTAAAAAAAATATATATTTCTATTTAAAGAAATGATGCAATTGTTAATTGCATATGCACTGCTGCATCCAAACAAAATTTAAAGACCTACAGATGCAGTGCTCTTCAAACCATTTATCTTTTTCCTTTGGCATTTTTTCGTAAATGCAATAATAACGGAGTTATGACTTGAAACAATTGCGTGGACCACCCTGTATATTTGTGGTTAATTATGCATAATATGTTTGCAAACCCGATGGTGAAAGAGATGTCACGTGTCAAACACGCTCAGCACGTCTGTATTCAAAGTAGATCTTCTCGGAAACGGAGCTTCGAGAAAGAAATATGCATTCCACGTTTTCGATTCATTTTTGCAGATAGAATTTACCTGCTGCATAGTTGTATCGCTGAGGGCACCCTGTAGGTAATGTTTACACTCGAAAATGGGCAAGTAACGCAATGCACGATGTGATTTGTTGCGTAGAAGAACAGAAGGGGATTCCTCGTTAGAAGAATGTAGTTTGAACCGATCTGTAAAGCAACTCTCGCAGTTTGTTCTTAATATAAAATATTGTCAGTTTATTATGCCTCGTTAAAATTCGGTTTCATCCATCGTGACGATAACAAAGTATTTAACAAGATGTAAACATTTGAATTCCGAATGTTTCGAGCAGCCTGTACAAGGAAAGAAAAGGGAGATGCAAGACAAAAATGGCAGAGAGATATAGCTTGACATTTAGAAAAGATCCTTTGAGGGCGTGTGGCCTAATAAGGCCTATGGTTCCCACCATAGGAAACTTTTATAAGTCATGAAGCTATACAGAAACTCCTCGATAAAAGTCATAGAATCAGGGCTGCTTGTAGACTTTTATGTAGTATGATACATCAAGCAACCAACAAGAATTTCAATTAAAAATTGTAATTTTTCATTATCGCATCCACCTCGATTTCGCGTACCTTATCGAAACCTTTATCGAGGTAAAAAGCAGAACTTTTAAAGAGGAGATTCTGCAGCCTCGCCAGCCACGCGTTCTGCCTCCATTTTCGTTTCTTATTTTCTCCGTTCTCAGTCGTTAATCCGGCCGACGAGCGCCAAGGGACGAGGTGTGAAAATCGGGCAGCTAATCACCAGATCGTTAATTACCCCCCGGGCTATCTTTAATCCGATCGAGCAGCATTCGATACCCCGTTTGATGCGCGTTTCCTCTCGACTTTTCCTCTAAAGCAAGGTTCTGGTTTGTGAAGCGATACAATCGGTCGTTTCCAAAATCACGTATGAATTTTGGAAACAAGTTATCGCTAGAAATTCTAATCTGCGTAGCCCTCATTTATTAATATTTAGTAGTGGAATCACAAAGCCATCAGTTTGAAGTATTTTGGAAGGACGATACTTTAATAATGACTCAACTGACTCAATGTTTGACAATTTGGCCATCCTTCAACCCTTAATTTCAAAGAGATCATAGTCTACAGGGTGTCTACGTATAAGTTCAGACATACGCAAAGTGTGAATTCTACAACAAATTTCTCAAAAAACAAAAACAACAAATTTCTACAAAAAATTACTCTTAGACATTTTCTTTGTGTCGCATTATTCTCGAATATTTTCACTTTAACTATTTTTTCTGTCTTTTTGACTTGACACTCTTTAAACTGCCATAACTCCACCAAATTACAGTGCAAACTTAAAACTAGGCTCTAAGTCAGGCTCTGCACACGGCTGGGAGAGGCTTGAGGTGTTAAAACATCGTTTTTTTTCCTAATTGGGGAGGCTCGGGAGTGTCACTAAAAAATACATCAAACCCGATGTCAAGTTAATTTTAAAGTGACAAGCCGATTTTTATTGAAAAATATCGATTTTCACCTAAAAACCCACGCTCTTCTGGATTTAAACGTCATTTTCTCCCTAAAATACCACCATACAATTTTTGTTTTTAAATACTGAGACAAACTGAGAAAAAATATTAAAAGTGAAAATTCTAGAGAGTAAGACGACACAAAGATAAATGTCTACGAGTAATTTTTTGTTAGAAATTTGTTGTAGAATTGATACCCTGCGTATGTCCGAACTTATACGCAGACACCCTGTGTATAATAAACGTGTATTTTCTAATCAAATTGAGTGTAGTAAAATTTTTAATTATATTCTTTTGATAAACTGTAACCTTTTTCATCTCCTCGAACATTCCACTGCAATTTCAATAGTTTTAATTGCAAGATCTTGAATAAAAAGAGCAATCCTTCGCCCGATCAAACCAGAACTCCGCTTTAACTCCGACAACGTCAGCGTAGCTCGGATCGACTGGTAATTAGCGAGCCTTTGATGTACCGAGACGCTCTGACTTACTAGTTAGACCGTCGTGTCGATGAGTAACGTCTCATTGGCACGATGACTCGCGTGCGCGTGCTTTCGTTTGCTCGCGTTGTCATCATGGATTGTGCAGGGTCGTTCGCGCGACTGGAACAGGTCCGTGACTCTTTTACCATCGAATACGAAAAAAATCGCTGTTGCAAATCGGACATAGCAAACATTAGCATCGTCAAACGATACGAGCTCTTTTATGCATAACTCTACCCTTGACATTTTTGCCATACTAGCCTTTGTAAGTCATCCTCGTTAAAAGCAAAAATATTCGATCGTGCGTTCGTTCGATGAATTTTAAAATTAATATTCTGCTAGGAACAGAATTTTATTATAAATTTTTTATCAGGTTTTTTTTACACAAAATTTTTCTCTTTCATTCATATCGTCCAATTAAACATGTATAATATAACATTGAAAGCTGAACAATAACGACGCGAAACAACGATTATTATTTCAATTCTCGAATAACAAAAATCGCCCGTGTTGAATAATTTCTTTTTCTTTTTTTCTGAGAAAAGAGACGCGCTCTAATTGTACGAATCGCTCTGTACAATGTTCATCAATTCCTACCTTGAATATTGATATCGAAAAGAATCCCTCGTGTCTCAAAACCTTTCGACTGTAATCAATGAGATCGATCCCACGATAAGTCTTTCACCCTCCAGCTTCCCCCAATTTTTCGTTCGATTTGGCAACGCGGGTTTAATTGTTCTTAACCAGCTACAAGCTTCGTTTTTGTATTAACAAAACCCTCCTCCTTATGTCCCTCGCGAGCATTTTATTTGTCATCTTCGTGCGAAATATGCGAAGCCATTTCATTACACAAGCATTTAAAAGCAACGTGCCCCTAAACGCAGCGAAATAAAAAGAAACCTTCGCCTTCATCGACTTTAAACTACCAAGTAGACTTTGATCAGAAGCCAGCATATACTTCCGCAACAATTGCAAACACTTGTTGCGTCTCAAAGGCAAACGAATTTAATCGAATCGATAAATAAAACTCGATACGAATAGAAATAATTATTCTCAACGATGCCGGGTGAAAAAAATTCTTCACAAATTTCGCACCACCGTGGTTCTCCATCCTCTTCCGTTACGTCTTTTCTTTTTTGATCATTTCCATTTAATTCTCTTCCGTTTCGTGTTAACGACCCCATGTAGAATCAGTTCGTCGACGCCGTTGGAACTCGTTAAACAGAAATCTCTTCTCTACGTTCAGGAAAAGGAGGACGGACCGGTGTACAAGTTTTACGAGACATTGCGCGACTTCGGCGACGACATCATGACCACCATTAATCATCTGCGCGACGTCACCCTGTTCGCGCCCAGCAATGCCGCGTTGGAGGAGCCGGGCGTGCAGCAGATACTTCAGGACAAGAAACGCATCACAGAGATCCTGAACCTTCACTACGTCAAGGAGCGGCTGCCCCTCGACAAGATCAAGAACAAGAGCGTCAGCCAGGTGAGTCTGTGCAATTTACGAATTTTTAACGATGCTGGCAAACCGAAGGTTAAAGGTCCATTCCGCATCGTTTCGGTTGTACAGCTTCGAAGCGCTTCGAATACTCGTTGCAACTGATCCTGAGGATCTCGAAAATACGAGAAAGAACTGATACTGAAATGGAGGATATTTAGTAGAGATCCCTACTTCATTTGTATCGAAATACTTGGGTACACATGTAATTCAGGGGATATCCTGAATTAGGAGGTCTAAAAAAGCGGTTTTTCGTGAACTTTTATGGATGGAAAAAAATAATTAATTCTATCGGACTTTGTATCTTATTTTCATACATACTTGAGTAGTCTGTACAAATTTTTTCAACAAGAAATATTGAGTCGACTGTGACGCACATTTGTAGGCCACCGCACAATTAAAACCTCCTATCGGCGGGAAAGATGTAGGTCGTAATTTTGGTTTGACACAAAGAAACCAAAAGAAATTTTCATTTTCATATATTTTTCTTGTTAAAGTGATTTTTTTCACCCAAAGAACTCGTTCTTTTTTTCAAACTTGCAGCAATTTCACATTTCACCATTTTTGACTGTTTTTCTTAGTTCACATGGAAGAAAAATATATGAAAATGAAAATTTCTTTTGGTTTCTTTGTGTCAAACCAAAATTACGACCTGCATCTTTCCCACCGATAGGAGGTTTTAATTGTGAAGTGGCCTACAAATGTGCATCACAGTGGACTCAATATTTCTTGTTGAAAAAATTTGTACAAACTACTCAAATATGTATGGAAATAGGATAAAAAGGTTGATAGAATTAATTTTTTTTTCCATCCTAAAAAAATTTACGAAAAACCGCTTTTTTAGATCTTCTAATTCAGGATACCCCCTTAATGGATCTGTGTATTTTTTATCGAAATACACGGATATCCAGGTACGTATACGTGCATCGAAATACACGGGTATGTAAATTGACTTGAACATTTATTTTAACTAATAAATAAAGTTATACAAATTACATTTAAAACATTTATTCTTCTTATGTTTATATATTTTTTATTTATTTGTTTTATTGCTTATCAATATTTTCAAAATTAATAAGGATCATTATTTTATGTAGAATAAAAGCTTTCTTTACATAAAAGTTTGTATATAAAACTAATTGGATACTGTACCCGTATAATTCGATGTATGCGTACCCGTGTATTTCGATGCACGTGTACCTAAGTACCAGGATATTCGTGTATTTCGATACCCGGGTACCCGTGTTCTTAATTCCTTAATACACGGTACACGTGTTCCTTGTACCCGTGTATTTTAATACCCGTTCAAAACCGTGATCTCTAATTATATAGGGAATGGAAGTCTTAGTTGTTTCAGAAGTCCTAAAAGATCATTTCGAAGATAGTAACAGATTTAAATCCTAATTCGCGGAAAACTAGGACACTTCTTAGACTGAATTATTCAGAGTTTTAATTCCCGGCAGTTCTGAAATAGCGTTTAACACCTAGATCGCGACTTGCTGGAGTATTTAATTTCTTGATAGTTTGGGAGTGCCCTAGGAGCTCCATTTTTTATGTCTCTGGGTCTTGGTAGACGTCCAGGTGATCCCAATCCTATAATTTATTTGGAGACTGAAGTACCTTCCGGTAGCTTCCGTGTTCCTGCAGTCTCTAACCTCCTGATAGCATTTACGTTAACGAGAGACCTCACAGTCCCGGTAATCCTTAATTTCATGAGGGATTCTGTGTTCCCAGCGGTCCTCAAGGTCTCCGTATGCCCCATCAGTCTGAATGTCTCTTCTTGTTACTCCTTGTAATCCTGATGGATCCCCCTCCCCGAGTCCGCTACTCTGATAACTCCTCAAAAATCATCCAACTACCAAAGACTCTGGCGAAAATTTGAAACAGTTCCGAAGACTCTGGAGCTCAACTGAAATTAACTTCAATCGCGTTTAAACTAGACTATTCGAAGCGATTCAAGCCTCACCGTTGCTCGCAATCGTGCGAGCATCCATCGTTACCCGCCAATTCTTTGGTGGCGAAATCGCTTTGCAGACAATCGACGCTCTTTACGTTGCCCAAACTCGCGTGCACACGTTGATTAACTCAATGTTTCTCTGTTTTCTTTTTTTGCCCAAAGAAATCCTCGATCGGGAAGTCACACCTTGGGGTAATTACACATTTATACAGCTTTCAGTGTTTCTGTTCGACTGTTCGTGAACTTTCTGCATCTGTTTTTCCTTTTTCTTTTCTCTCCGCCTGATTTACTTCTCAGTGTCGATCCCAATCTGACAGCACGGTTGCTCGGCGAATCGTTGTGTGCGTTGACACCAGCTGCTCGTCAATTATCGCGAATCACGCGCGACAGCGGAAACGGGGAAAAATTATACCCACAGTGACTCAAGCTATGTGAACCTGGCACTCGACTTTTCAAAAATTAATTTTTTTTATAGAAAATGATAGTATTGGTGGTACAATCAAGTACAAACAAAATAGTTTCGTTTGTACCTTCATCAATAAATAACAAACATTTTTTAAATGGTCAACACCCAACATTGAGATTTTTGAGAACCGTTTTTTTCCTGTTCTTTGGAATCGTTTGTATCGCCTTTCGTTTCGTTTGTATTTCAATAATTTAAATTTTATAATTCAACCGTATCAACAATTGCTTGTAAAATTTAAACTATCGAAGTACAAACGAAACAAAAAACGATACAAACGATTCTAAAAAACAGGGAAAAAACAGATTTCAAAAATCTCAATGTCAGGTGCTGACCATTCTTTTAATTTTCTTTAATTATTAATTGATGAAGGTACAAACGAAAATATTGGCGGTACAATCGAGTACAAACGAAATACTATCATTTTCTATAAAAAAAATTGATTTTTGAAAAGTCGGCTGCCAGGTTCACATAGCTAATGACTCACGGCATTCTGAGATCGTGGACGCACGCGTTACTTTCGGATTCAGACATTCGAGATAGATCTCGTTCGCGCTTGTTTCGCTGCTAACGTTACTTTCCTGCACTTGCCAAGCTAATTAGATATTTGACAACGTGTTGATCCTTTCTTTTCGTTGAAACATAACCTATATCTACAGTTAAACACACATTCTCTAGAAAAATACATCCAGAAAAGTAATGGATACCCCCCCAAGGACGAATATCTGTATGCCAAGTTTAATAAGAGTCGGAAATTGTCAATTTAGCGATGCTCCTTGCTGGAAAAATTTCACCGGACCAACGCGACTGGACGCTCGCTTTTAATGCTCTCGGAAAACTACATCAGGGATCAAAGTTTTAATGAAACTTTTGCTGTTTGTATGCAAAGCTTCTTATAACACTCGGAACTTCCAGTTTTTTTTATTGAAAAGGACACGATCTCGTTATGATGTATTACTTGTTTGCCTGTTTCTCGTTCGAGTGCACAGCTTTCATAACAGTCTCGATACACTCTAGACATTCCCTTTAACGAGTTTTTCATTACAATAACTACCCGTCCACTTTCCAAGACATTTCCACGATCAAGTTACCTAACGAGAGTCGAAGATTCTATATTAACTCTTACGAGTCCATCTGTTTCAACAAACATTTCAAAAAATTAATAGAAGTCTTACACTGAATTCGATAATTCTATATTAACCCATTTTGATAACACGGAAAAGTGGAAAATTAGGTCTTATCGTCAATATTTTATTTGAATTCAATTTCCAAATAAATTTCAATTTCAATTTCCAACTAAATTCGAAGATTCTATATTAATCCTTTCAAATCACCCTCTTCCAACAAAAATATCCAATAAATTAATAGAAATCTGACATTGAATTCGTCAACTGTATTAAATACAATATACAGGGTGTCCCAAAACTCGGGGAGGAGCCGGAAATGGGGGGTAGCTGAGACGATTCTGAACAACAATTTCCGTTGCAAAAATGTCGGATGGGGCTTCGTTAAGGAGATATTAAGCGAAAACCCCGACCAATCAGAGCGCGCGTAGACCGTTGGAGCGGCCGTGGTAGCGTAGGCTACGCGCTGGTGGCCGCGCTTGCACGCGAACAAGTGACTCGACGTGCATCGAAGCATCGACCTAGCGCGTAGCCTACGCTACCGCGGCCGCTCCAACGGTCTACGCGCGCTCTGATTGGTCGGGGTTTTCGCTTAATATCTCCTTAACGAAGCCCCATCCGACATTTTTGCAAAGGAAATTGTTATTCAGAATCGTCTCAGCTACCCCCCATTTCCGGCTCCTCCCCGAGTTTTGGGACACCCTGTATATCAAACTCGATTATATCGCTACTTTGATGGTATATCCTATACCTTTTTATTATTCCCGTGAAAAGTTCCGTCATGCTGATTGAACGATAATAGAAAACCGTCATCCCTGGTCGACTTTGAAAGTTGAAGTAGCCCACGTTGTTATGATGTTAGGCGTCTTTCAACCAACTTTTACTTCCAATCCACTTAATCCGTGGAACTCTGTCTCCTTATCGGGTTCGAGCAAGGAAGTTCATTTTCATTTAACGCCAGTTCGCGAAACTTCCAGCCCGTTTATACAACGCTCCGTTAATGTAACATTCGTTGGAATTTCAATATTCGTTGTTGATATTGCAACGGTTCAGTAACTCGCGACATGCTAAATTAAACCTTTAACTCTGGTGGGTTATACGTCTGAAAAGTTTTGTTTTAATGTCTTCCGGAGTCCCTGTTATGGGGTCGGGGTATAATCTTCTGAACGCGATATGAATTCGCGTGAATTCCCAAAGTCGATTCACTTGGGAAAGGAAGATCGTGTGAAAAGATTTCAACCTACGATTTTCATGTATTTTTATTACATTATATGTAGGATTTGGAATGATCGAGGCTGGCGAATAAATTAGACACGTGAGAAACTTGTAAATATAATATAATTAATAATATAAAATTGAAAAGGTATGAAGGAAAGCTAACGAAACACGCCCATACGTACGACTGTTCTGACTACATACTAAAAGTCACAAGCTCTCGCAACGCCGCCAGGGTTTGAATAATAATCAATTACAATTTCTTCATTAAATAATTAATTTAAACAAATTTAATTCAATCAACTTAATTAATAAATATTTTGAATAAATGTACATAAAAATTATTTAATTAAAATTGAATTCAGTAGAGTTAATCGAAACTCGTTTAATTGACGATTGATATGAGCGAATTTAATCGAAGATATTTAATTGACGATTACTTTAAGCAAAATTAATTCAAAGTCGTTTAATTGACGATTATTTTAACCAGAATTGTGAAATGCTTAATTCACTTTTAATTAAATAATTTTTTATTACATTGTTTGTAATTAATTATCAATTAAAGACAGAAATTACTTAAAAAAGTAATTAATTAACCGATTGAAACATAACTTTCCTTCATATACAGGGTGGTCCACGCAATTGTTTCAAGTCATAACTCCATTATTATTACGAAAAAATGCCAAAGGAGATCGATACATAAAGACATTTGTTGAAAATATCTCGAGAACTAATAATTTTTTTGCCATGGTACCTTAATCATTTTTTACGTAGAATGAACAGAAGAATCGATCTGTCTAAAAAAAATATGCATTTCTATTTAAAGAAATGATGCAATTGTTAAGAGCGTATGCACTGCTGCATCTAAAAGAAATTTAAAGGCCCACAGATGTAACGTTCTTCGAACCATTTATCTTTCCCTTTTGGCATTTTTTCGAAAATGCAATAATAACGGAGTTATGACTTGAAACAATTGCGTGGACCACCCTGTATATCAGAGAATATTCGTTTGTACATTTTTCGTGGGAGTCAGCGTGCTTTAAACGTATTTAAAAGTGAATTTTTATGGTGAGACTTGGTAAGAACGAAAATTTTTCTACGAAAGAATCTCCTATTCGACTGAACCACGAATTTTACTGAGTTTGATATAAACTTATGAGTAATTTTCTTTTCATTTGTATCCGCCTAATAAAAATATTCAAGTTAATTGTCCCTTAGAACGTGGTAATAATGAAGTAGAACTATTACTACAATTTTTCCATGGAGCGCGAAAAACGTTTTTCACCGGACAAAAAGGAAATGAAAATCGCTTAATTGGGACGATGGATTCCATTATACCGTCAGGCGAGGATAGGAGAATAATTCCCGCGTAATTCATAAATTCCAGGGAATTTATCCGTTTTTCAGCAGTATTGTTCGCAAATTTGCTGTTTATTTACACGAACGGTTACACGACAAATTTATCGGACTACACAGAAGCGTTTTGCAAATCGGACCTATGAAAAATCGCAATTTTGCCGCTGATAATAAACGGGCCGCGCGAATAATACGAGTGAAAATATAATTCCCTTTGCGAAACATGCCAGTAAGTGAAATATTTCGAGCTTCCGCGATTTTTTAAACGCTAGGTATAAATTAAATAGAATTCGTTTCCGTTCTTTGAAAGGCATCGTTGTGAATAATGCGAGTGTAGTTGGGGAATTAAAATTGAACTGGAATTTTTCAAATTTACGTCCTTTGAGTTATATTATGCTTTCTATTATTATATTTTCTAAATGAATCACAGGACAAAACTCGTAAGCAAATGGTCTGTGTTGTATTGTCTCTTCTTAAAAGAGAAAGATTTTTCGTTTACAAGAACCATCGCTGCGCGTTTGGGTTTCTTTGCTAGACACAAGTCAAGAGGGTGTAGCTGTGTCCCATCTTGACTTGTTTAAACGAAGTATGGGACCGATAGGGTCTATAGTTACGTGACGAAATTCTTCGTTACTGACCTCGCTTTCATTCGAGCTGCTTCTTTCGTACAGAACAGACGTGCCGTTCCGACAGTGATGGGCAAAATCGTAATCGCAAATACGAATACGATTGTAATCGAATGTTTTCGAGTTGTAATTACGATTACGATTGTAATCGCATCTTTCCGAGTTGTGATTACGAATACGATTTCAATCGTAATCGCAAATTTTTCTGCAAACTTTTCTACGATGGCGACTGTATTTTTAAAGATTTACAGCCATAGAAATTCTTTACCTCAAAATCGACTTCAGATTCGTGTTCCTCGCTCCAAAAAACTTTGAAAACCATACATTCGTCGGAATGGAAAATGAAAAATTTTCAATTAAATTCGTGCCCATAGAGCAGAGCCTAGATAGGGTAACTTTTCTAAAAAT